TGTATATATGCCTGTCTATATGTCTGTCTGTCTGTCTGTCTGTCTGTCTGTCTGTATGTATGTATGTATGTATGTGTGTATGTATGTATATATATATATAGAGAGAGAGAGAGACATGCATACATGTATAGATGTACATATATATTCCATCGGGGATGGGACGTTTTCTGCTTCTTGAGGGCCTCTTGGGACGCCTCCTGGTGGCTTCTTTGGGCGTCTAGGGGGCCTCTGGAGCCGTCTGGAGGCAATCGTGGACGTCTGGAAGCGACTTCTCGGCGACTCGTAGCCATCTGGGACCGTCCGGGGGGCCTTCTGGGGCCCCCCAGGTTCCAATGGCGCGGCTGACGCATGTGCCCCCCACACACACACCCCTCCAAACCGGGCGGAACGGGCTCCCGGGGGAGGGGTTTGGGGAGGGGGAAGTATTTCACACGCCGTGACGCCAAAGGGTCGGCGGGTTGTGAACAGTAGAGAGACACTTGTTGCGAACAATATCTATGGGATCCATTTCACCGCTCTCGGAAAGCAGGTGATTGGTTCTGGCCTACGCCGAGGAGGTTATGCTTCTTTGGGTCCCTTGCAAAGCGGCTGCCAACGGTTACGCTGAGGATGGCGTCTTTGCGCTCAATGACGGCAAGGGTTGGTCGGATCCCCTTCTAAGCCCGAAGTAGATGAGCGTTGTTCTTTGATTGTAAGGGTCGTCGCGCCACATTCGAGCTGCGCGCCCTTTAGGGCGCCGGCCTGCCAGTGGAGTTTGAACTGTGAACCTTCATGTGTCGCCGTGCCGTCTGTTCCGACGCGCGGCCTTGCGTCTTGGGGAGGGCGCTTCGGCCACCGGGGCAAATTCCACCTCGGACGCGGTGGGTTCGCCATGGGTTTGCCGCGGCGCCGGCTTCCTCTGCTTGGGGCGCGGGGCGCAGGGTTTGCCGTGAGTTTGCCGTGGTGTCGGCATCGTTCACGCGGGCGCGTCGAGAAGAAACGGCTCGGCGGCATAGTTGGTTCGCAGTGCCACCCTCTCAGAGCGAAGTTTCGCCATTCACGCACTGTGGTTGTGCATCCGGTCCTCTTTCCTTAACATCCTCAGATGTGATTTGTTCAATCCGCGGCCCAAGAGTCCAGGACCCCCTCTCTGGGATTAGTGTTGCGTCCCGGTTCTATGTTTGATGGTCCCAGGGCCCAGCGGTGCCACCCGGAGATCGAAATCGAGGAATCACGTCCGGATTGAAAAAATCAGATCGTTGGAGATTTGGGTCTTCCCGCTCGCGCAGCACCGTCGTCGATCCGTGGGGTGTTCACAAGTTGGCCTTGGCGTCGGCCCCGCCCGCTCCTCGCCATCCTCGCCCTCGCCGTCGCCAGCAGTCGCGAGGAGGACGAGGAGGAGGAGAAGGACGAGATTCGAGGAAGAACGCAAACATAATCATTCATCTTCGGCGCGCGGAGCGCGCCAAGGGCGGCGCCAGAGGCGCCGCCGGAAAAGGGTTCCAGCGCAGATCAAAGAAATCCGCGCACTGTGATATGTTCATGTTGGGATCCGATCAGAAGTTTATTCCGTCCCAGGAATCCAAGTTTTTGGAAAGGGCGAGGGAGGACGGACAGACAGGTCGACGATCGAAGAGGGGCGACCCTGACTCCAGATCGGCCGTGCTCAGTTGATTTCCCGGTTTGAGTATCTATCGGAATCGCACTCCCAATGATGCGCAGAAGTGTTGGGAAAGCTTCCGCTTCCGATAAGTGGAGAGTTTCTCTCCGTAGAAATATCGAGGGAATTGCGACGGCAAGGTAGGGCGGAGATCGACATCAAGGGAGCTTGACGAGTGACATCGCCCAAAGCATGGCGGATCCGAAGATTTTCCCCAAACAGTGCTTGCCTTTAGGGTGGCTAGCTGGTGGTGGTGGAGTCAGTGGTGTCGCTTCCCCACCCTCCTCCTCCTCCTCCTCCTCCTCCTCCCCCTCCTCCTCCTCCTCCTCCTCCTCCTCCTCCTCCTCCTCCTCCTCCTCCTCCTCCTCCGTTCTTCTCCAAGGAGTTGGGCCCGTGTGGCGGGCTGGCGGCCCCTCCGTTGCCGCCCCGTCGCCGCACCGTCGCCGCCCGTCGTCTGGGCCCCTGGTGGCGGTCCGGCGGCTCCGTGCTCGCCGTCGCCGTCCCGTGGTCGCCGCCGCCGCCCCGCAGGCGCCTCGCACAGGTTGCACCGCACGGGCTGCACCGCATAGCTTGCACGGCATAGATTGCGCCACACAGATTTGCACCGCACGGATTCCACCAGAAGTATTGCACCACAAGGATAGCACAACACAGATCGCACCACACAGATTGCACCACATAGATAGATTGCACAACATACATCGCTCAACCTATATGGCACAACAGATGTTGCACAAAATACATTGTATTGCACAACATAGTTCGCACAAAATAGATTGCACAGCTTCGATTGCACCACACATCTTGCACCACAGACCCTGCACCACGTGTATACACATAAATATATATATGTACATATATATATATGTATGTGTATATATATATATATATATATATCCGTAAGAGCTTCGCCCCCTGCCACCGGCCCCCTCTCTCGGAGAATGGGCCATGGAAGAGCGAAGTCATGAGGCTTTGGCTTCGCCGTGAAGCAGTGTCGGGACCTGTTTGTTTTTGGGCCCTGACCCTACTGCGTGAGGGGTGCCGCCGGATTTAAAAAATGTAGCAAATCCCGCGTGTTTGTGGACCCTGACCCTACGGATCTGCGTGAGGGGTGCCGCCGAACTTCAGGAATGTTGCAAATCCCTTGTGTTTTTGGACCCTGACCCTACGGATCTGCGTGAGGGGTGCCGCCGAATTTTAGAAATGTAGCAAATCCTTGGTGCCACCGAATTTTAAAAATGTGGCAAATCCTTGTTGTGTTTTTGGACCCTGACCTTGCCGATCTGAGTGAGGGGTGCCATCGAAGTTCAGAAATGTAGCAAATCCCTCATGTTTTTGGACCCTGACCCCGCCGATCTGCGTGAGGGGTGCCACCGAATTTCAAACATGTGGCAATTCCATTGTGTTTTTGGACCCTGACCCCGCCGATCTGCGTGGCGCCACCGAATTTCAAAGAGTTGCAAGTCCCATATGTTTTTGGACCCTGACCCCGCCGATCTGCGTCAGGGATGTCACCGAATTTCAGAAATGTGGGAAATCCCCTTGTGTTTTTTAGACCCTGACCTCGCCGATCTGCATGAGGGGTGCCGCCGAATTTCAAAAATGTGGCAAATCCCGTGTGTGTTTTGGACTCTGACCCTACGGATCTGCGTGAGGGGTGCCGCCGAATGTCAGGCATGTTGCAAATCCCATGTGTTTGTGGACCCTGACCCTACGGATCTGCGTGAGGGGTGCCGCCGAATTTCAGAAATGTGGCAAGTGTTGTTGAACCCTGACCCTGCGGATCTGCGTGAGGGGTGCAGCCGAATTTCAGAAATGTGGCAAATCCTTTGTGTTTGTGGACCCTGACCCTGCCGATATGCGTGAGGGGTGCCGCCGAATTTTAGACATGTTGCAAATCCCTTGTGCTGTTGGACCCTGACCCTGCCGATCTGCGTGAGGGGTGCCGCCGAATCTTAGACATGTAGCAAATCCCTTGTGTTTTTGGACCCTGACCCTGCCGATATGCGTGAGGGGTGCCACCGAATTTCAAACATGTGGCAATTGCTTTTTGTGTTTTTGGACCCTGACCTTGCCGATCTGAGTGAGGGGTGCCGCCGAATTTTAGACATGTAGCAAATCCTTTGTTGTGTTTTTGGACCCTGACCCCGCCGATCTACGTGAGGGGTGGCAGGAGATTTCAGACAAGTTGCAAATCCTTTTTGTGTTTTTGGACCCTGACCCCGCCGATCTGCGTGGTGCCACCGGATTTCAAAAAGTGGCAAATCCCTTGTGTTTTTGGACCCTGACCCCGCCGATCTGCGTCAGGGATGTCACCGAATTTCAGAAATGTGGGAAATCCCCTTGTGTTTTTCGACCCTGACCTTGCCGATCTGAGTGAGGGGTGCCATCGAAATTCAGAAATGTGGCAAATTCTTCGTGTGTTTGGACCCTGACCCCGCCGATCTGCGTGAGGGGTGTCAATTTTCACCCACCCCAGCAATTCAGAAAATACGATTTGGTCGTGGTATAAATTGTCGTTTTGGGCCTCCCCCCTCGCGCGGTCCATCAACAAGGAACAGTAAGCAGCAAGAAGTCAACAAGGAACAGTAAGCAGCAAGAAGCAGAACTGTAACAGTGGAAACTCGAAGCTGCAACTGGTACAGGAAATTGCGAACCTCCGGCCTACAGCCTGGTGGCACCACAAGGGGGCCGGCGGATATATACATATATATATACACATATATATACATATGTATATATGTAGGTAGGTAGGTAGGTAGGTAGGTAGGTAGGTAGGTAGGTAGGTAGGTAGGTATGCATTTGTATGTATATATATATATATATATATATATATGCGATATGGCTCAACATAGGATGCTAAAACACCGATTGCACCACATAGGTTGCATCACGTAGATAGCACCGCATAATTATATCGGATCGAATGTATTGATCCACGTATCTAGCTGCATATACAGATTGCGCATCTAGATTGCTAGAAACGCATTGTTTGGGGGCCACGCTGGCTAACATTTTTTTTTCAAATACGGGGTCCCTGGAAGTCCCGACCCTTTCCCCAAGGCCAGCTGCTCATCCCCAGTCGCTTTTTGACGGTCCATGGGCCCGTCGATTTCTGCCCAAGAACTCCCGTCATGCGTTTTTTTCCCGCGACGCGAGTATGTCTGGGCAGGGAGGACGGACAGACAGGTCGACCATCGCAGGGGGGCGAGGAGGGGATCCCCACCCACGCTCTGGGGGGGCCCCGCATCGAGAGAACGCCAACCCCGACGAGTCGACCGAGGAACTCTGCACCGGCTCATTCGAGATTGGTATTCGAGTGTGCCCGTGCAGTCCGCCGTTCGTTTCGCTACTCGGCGCGCGCTTCGCTGGATGCCTTCGGTTGTTTTCGGGCGTCGCTTCTCTACCCTGACGGGGGCCACTCGGATCGCAGCGACGCCGTGCGCACGTGGAGGGCCCTTGACAGTTCTCACCCAAAGGGTGCGTTGCCAGAGGCCATTGTGCCAGTCCTCGAGCGGGGAGGGCTGCCGCGATGGGCTGCAGCAGCAGCATCGGGCCGCACGAGTGCCCGCGGGGCCCCGGGAGCAGGGCCCGCCCGGCGCTCGCGGCTTCTCGCCGCCGCCGCCGCTGCCGCCGTGGGCGTCCTCGTCCTCCTGCCCCAGACGTGCTCGCGTCATGGCGTGTGTGGCCGGACGACGTCCAGAGGTTTTCGGGCGTCTTCGTCGGTGCTCGTCGACTTTTTTCAGCCTCACGGTGCCTTCCGGCGGGTGCGCCTCGCCGGGGGTGCACGTGTCGTCCCGAACGGCCGCGCCCGAGGCCCGAGCCTGTGGCCCGAGAGCCAGGCGTGTGCGCGTCGTGAGGGGTGGGCACGTTGGCCGTGCTCGGCCTCCAGGGGCCCCTGCGAGGCCTCGGGGAGGTCAAAAAGCTGGTCGGGGTGAAAGACAGGCCTCGGGGAGCGTGCCAGCCATTCCGAGGACCCTGGGTGGAAAAGATCAAGATGTCGCATGGATTGGTCCTCTTCATCCTCTTCGTCCTGGTCGTCGCCGCCATCGTCGTCGCCGTCGTCGTCACCGCGGTGGTGGTGGCCGTCCTGGGCGGCGGGGGTGAGGGGGGAAGGGGGGGAGCCAGGGGGGTTGGGGTGTGGGTGAGGGGCAGCAGGGGAGGAGAGAAGGGAGGGAGGCGAGGGAGGAGGGCGGAGAGCGGGGAGGTGGGCGCGGACCCCGGAAGCGCCCGAGGGCACGCCACTTGCGCCACCGCACCGCATGCTCAGGATCGGCGTCGGCGAAGCAGGCACAGAAGCACCAGCATTGCACGTCGCGGCAGGATTCAGGGCCTGACCGGGGAGGAGGGGGGAGGGCATGAGGAGGAGGAGGAGGAGGAGGGATGCGGAGGAGGAGGAGGAGGAGAAGGAGGGGGAGGAGGAGGGATGCGGAGGAGGAGGGAGGGAGGGAGGGAGGGAGGGAGGGAGGGAGGGAGGGAGGGAGGGAGGGAGCGAGGAGGAGGAGGAGGAGGAGGAGGAGGTGGGGGGGGAAGGAGGAGGAGGATGGGGAGGAGGAGGAGGAGGAGGAGGAGGAGGAGGAGGAAGAGGAGGAGAGCCATGTCGCGAGTATCAAGGTGGATGTCGATGTCATATGTGTATACTTGTGTATGTCTATATGTATGTATGATTGTTTGTTGGTGTAAATACAGATGCAGCAACAGCTTAATAGTATAGCCTATACAGGCAAGCTCTTTAGGAAACGAGGGTCGTTGGTTGTCCTCGCTTTACAAAACTCTACGGCGCGTTTTGGACTGCAAGCAGACACGCCAGACCCCAGTGGCCACGTGTCGGAGAGGGGGACGCGTAATACTGATTGTTCCCCGGAGTGGCCTTGCGGACTCACATGGTCGAGGGCACGTACAGGTGATTTTACCCAAGGTGGGACTGGGGGCTTTTGAGCGACCCCGACTTGAGGCTGATCTTGGCAAGGCCTTGCGGCTGGTGCCGCCGACCCTGAAAACGATGACGACGACAAAGACGACGACGATTGCGACGACGACGACGACGACGATGACGATGACGACGACGACGCGCAGATGCCTCGGCCACAGCCTCTTGTCAGGGGGCAGCCAGAGGAGGAGGAGGAAGAGGAGGAGGAAGAAGAGGAGGAGGAGGAGGGGAAAGGTGGAGGAGAAGGAGGAGGAGGAGGCGGAGAAGAAGGAGGAGGAGGAGGACGAGGAAGGTGAGGAGGAGGAGGGAGAGGAGGAGGGAGAGGAGGGAGGGGAGAAGGAGAAGGAGGAGGAGGGGGGGGAGAAGGAGGAGGAGAAGGTGCGGAGGAAGGGGAGGAGAGGGATGGGGTGAGGGAGAGGAGGAGGGAGGGAGGGAGGATGAGGACGAGGAGAGGAGGAGGAGGAGGAGGAGAGAGGTGGGGGAGAGGAGGAGGAGGAGGAGGGGGAAGGTAAGGAGGGAAATGAGGAGGAGAAGGAGGAGGAGGAGACGAGGAGGAGGAGGGGGAGGAGAAGGAGGAGGCGGAGGAGGAGGAGGAGGGATAGGAGAGGGAGGGAGGGAGGAGGTGGAGGAGAGGAAGAGGAGGAGGAGGAGGAGGAGGAGGAGGAGGAGGAGGAGGAGCAATAGGAAGAGGAGGAGTGGAGGAGGAAAGGAGAAGGAGGATGGGGAGGAGGAGGGGAGGAGGAGGAGGTGGAGGAGGTGGGAGGTGTGGGAGGAGGAGGAGAGAAGAGGAGGAGAAGGGGAAGGAGAGGTAGGGAGGAGGAGGTGCGGGAGGAGGAGGAGGAGGAGGAGGAGGAGGAGGAGGAGGAGGAATGTCGGGAGGCCGTACATGCGGGAACGCCCCCAAACCTTACCCGAGGAAAATTGATGATTGTTGCCTCTGGGGGCTATCATCGGAGGGCTCTTGGAGGCTATTGGGGCGTTTTGGAGGCCTCTTGGACCGTCTGGAGATCATATCTGGCGTCTAGGACCAATCGTTCGGCGTTTCGGGGCCCTCTTGGGCCGTCTTCTTGGGAGCCCCTTGGAGCGCTCTTGGCCCGTCTGTAGCTCAAACCCTGACCCTACACCGCCCAAACGTCCCCCCGACGGGTGTCCGGCCTGCACGCTAGAACTTGCCCCCCCCCCCCCCCCCGCGGCCCCCCCCCCTCAATTCGCGCGCCCGAGGCCACTCTTGCTTACCGTGAGTGGAGTATTTTGCAAGTGCGATGTTTGCCTAGGGAGGTGCGTCTGCGTCAGTTGAGGCCGAGGTTCGAACGTCCGCGTCCGGTGTCCAATGCAGTGCTGGAGCGCACGCCGCTGGCTGCTGGAACGCTGGCGCTCGGCAGAGATGCAGCGATGGAGCGCACGCCATGGACTGTTGGATTGTTGTCCCTCGTAAATTATCCCGGCAAAGCAACCTAACAGCGATGTATATAAGCATATCTGGAAGCATTCCCCTTAAGATTCAGGTGAGAATCCAGTTGTAGAATTCTGCTGTTCTCGCAGTCGCAGTTGCATTCGCAATGACAGTCGCAGTGGCAACGGCCTTAGGATCCAATCGAATCAGAAGGATTCCTAGGGATTCCTAAGGCATCCTTAGGCATCCTTAGGAATCCATAGGAATCCTTAGGAAACCTTAGGAATCCTTAGGGATCCTGATTCCTAGGGATTCCTAAGGATTTCTAAGGATTTCTGAGGATGCTTAACTATGCCTACGGACTCCTAAGGATGCCTGCGGATTCCTAAGGATGCCTAGGGATTCCTAAGGATTCTTATGGATTCCTACGGATGCCTCAACCTGCCTCAGTTTCAGCCTCAGCTTCAGCCTGCCTCGGCTTGCCTCAGCCTCAGCCTCAGCCTGCCACGGCCTCAGCCTCAGCCTGCCTCAGCCTCAGCCTCAGCCTGCCTCGCCTCAGCTGCGTCAGCCTCGCTCAGCCTGCCTCAGCCTCAGGCCTCTCAGCTCTCAGCCTGCCTCAGGCCTCAGCCTGCCCTCGGCTTGCCTCAGCCTCAGCCTCGGCTGCCGCTCAGCCTCGGCCTGCTCAGCCTGCCTCAGCCTCAGCCTTCCTCAGCCTCCCCTCCCCCCCCCCCGTTTCCCCCCCCCAATTCAGCCTCACCTTGTCTCAGCTTCGGCCTGCCTCGGCCTCATCCTCAGCAGCTCAGCCTCAGGCTCAGCCTCAGCCTGTCTCGGCCTGAGCCTGCCTCCTCAGCCTCAGCCTCAGCCTCAGCCTGCCTCAGCCAGCCTCCTCAGCCTCAGCCTGCCTCGGCCTCAGCCTCAGCCTGCTTCAGCCTCAGCCTCAGTCTGCTCAGCCTCGGCCTCAGCCTCAGCCTGCCTCAGCCTCAGCCTGCATCAGCCTCAGCCTCAGCCTCAGCCTGCCTCAGCCTCAGCCTCAGCCTGCCTCAGCCTCAGCCTGCCTCAGCCTCAGCCTCAGCCTGCCTCGGCCTCGGCCTGCCTCAGCCTCAGCCTCAGCCTGCCTCGGCCTCAGCCTGCCTCGGCCTCAGCCTGCCTCAGCTCGGGCATTCAAAATATGGCACAGGACTGGTGTTCTGGGAACACGAAGATCACGAAGTGGCCCACAGTTGGCTCCGGGCAATCAAAATATGGTACAGGAATGGTGTTCTGGGAACACGAAGAACACGAAGTGGCCTACAGTTGGCTCCGGGCATTCAAAATGTGGCCTGGGAATGGTGTTCTGGGAACACGAAGAACACGAAGTGGTCTACAGTTGGCTCCAGGCATTCAAAATGTAGCCTGGGAGTGGTGCTTTGGGAAAACGAAGCACACGAGGTGGCCTACAGTTGGCTCCGGGAATTCAAAATGTGGCCTGGGAATGGTGTTCTGGGAGCACGAAGAACACGAAGTGGCCTACAGTTGGCTCCGGGCATTCAAAATGTGGCCTGGGAGTGGTGTTCTGTTGGCTCCGGGCAGTCAAAATGTGGCTCCTGGCAGTGAAAATGGGGAGTCCCCGGTTTTCCGCGGCACCCGTCCGGCACCTGCCCAGACCCCCTTGGGGAGTCATGATGCTCTCTTTTGAGCCCGCTAGAAACCTATCAGTTTTCGTGTTAGGTAAAAATGTGGTGCTTGACCGCGCGCCGTGGTCTGCTGGACCGTTGCTCCTCGTCTCCTCGTAAGCTTTGGTTGCTGGACCACACCCTTGTTTGCAGCATGAGCTGCCGGAGCGTTTTCCCGTTTAAAAGGTGGGCGTTGGAACGACAGCCCGCTGTGTGTAATTTTTACATATGAACGGGGGGAAGGGGGGGGGCAAGGGACGCGGCGGGGGGCGGGGGTGCTAGCATTGTGTTCACGCCTCGCTCTCAAACGGGGCCAGTTGCTCACACGCCCTGGCACATGCGTGGTAGCACCCTATGTGCGTGCGTGGGTGGGTGGACGCGGGCAAGTGGGCGAACGTGGGTGCGTGCGCGTGCGCGTGCGCGTGCGTGTGTCCGCGCGCGTGCGCGCTCAAGTAGCAGGGAGACCAGGGGAAGAACAGGGGGAGAGAAACAGCAATGAATCGGGGGAGGGGGGGAGGGGGAAGGAGGGAGGAACCAATACATTTCCCCCCAAACAGCCCCCGATACATCAACATACTCGGCGAAACCTTACCAGACATAACGTTCCACTGACAGAAGGGTTACTCCCTGCGTGCCGCCGGGAGAAGCGGCGTCATAATGGGGGAGGCAAGTGCCGGACGCGCTGATTCAGAGGAAGAGGGCCGGTGCCTGGCCGACATTGGCAGTCCGCCGCTGTCTTTCCGCAGCGCGAGGAGATCGGGGGAGGGCCTTGGGATCCGACGTCGCAGAAAAGATTGCCGCATCGCGAGAGGTACAGCGGAGGCCCTCGGCCGCACTGTTCTGATGCCTTCTTGGGAGCCAGAAGGATCTGCCAGGGCCCTGGGCGTTTTTGTACTTCTCGCGAAGATGCCGCATCGCGAGAAGTACAGCGGAGGCCCTCGGCCGCACTGTCCTGATGCCTGCTTTGGGAGCCAGAAGGATCTGCCAGGGCCCTGGGCGTTTTGCAGCTCGGGCGAGCGCGCCCGCAGCGAAGGGCAACGCAAGGCAACTCCCGGAGTGGAGGAGGAAGGGGGGGGGGGGAGAAGGGGGAGGGGCAGGGGAGGAGAGGGGAGAGAGGAGGAGGAGGAGGATGAGGGAGGAGGAGGGAGGAGGAGGAGAGGAGGAGGAGGAGGATGGGGAGGAGGAAGGGGGAGGAGGAGGGGAGGGGCGGGGCCGGGCGGGCCGGAGGGCGTGACGCGTCGGCGGCGGGGCCCCCGGGAAGCTGAGAGTCGGCCCCCGGTCCCGGCGAGGCCGCCCGGAGGCGGAGAGTGGCGGAACGTTTGTTGTCGTGGTCCTTCGCGACGCCCTCCTCCTCCTCCTCCTCCTCCTCCTCCTCCTCCCTCCTCCTCCTTCTCCTCCTCCTCCTCCTCCTCCTCCTCCTCCTCCTCCTCCTCCTCCTCCTCCTCCTCCTCCTCCTCCCCCTCCTGCCTCCCTGAGAGCCGACGTTGCGGGAAAAATGCAACGTCGTGAACAATCACGACTGGAGCCCGAGACCCCATCTTTCTGTTTTCTTCGGGCCAGATTGATCTGTGATGCTCCCAGGGCCCAGAACACAGCAAAATCGCTTGGTGTGAGAACATTGCGACGCCTGGGTCTACGAGGTTCTGGGCGCCGACATCGTCTGTGCATCAGCGATGCTGCGGGATCCTCCGACCCCATCTGCTCGGACCCCATCTTCGAGTAAACTACAGAATTGATTCACCCCCAAAACAATTTGCACGTCGAATCTATATATAATAATGCGTACAATTGCCGTAGATCGATCAACACGATCTACGAATTGTCAATGGATCCGACGAGAAACATCAAGTTTGGGGTAAGTCAACTCTGTAGCCGATCCCGTCGTCGACATCTAGGAGGCCTCTTAAGAGTGGATGGCGCAGTGGCTGTGGGCCTCCTCCTCCTCCTCCTCCTCCTCCTCCTCCTCCTCCTCCTCCTCCTCCTGCGCCCCCAAAAGGCCGAGGAGCACGACGCGCGCTGCGCGGCCGCGTGCGCGGCCACAGCGGGCGCGGGCCCGGAGGCCAGCGCCCTTCGGCGGCCGCCGGCTGGCCCGTGTGCAGCCTGGCGCCTGGAGAAAGGGCCTGGCATCGCTCAGACGCAAGCAGTGGCGAAGCGTCTTTCAGCGAGCGAAGAACGGTATAAAATAAACTTTTTCGCTGTCGGGGGCGCCTGTCCCTGGGCGGCTGGAAGGTTCATAGCCCTACGGTGCCACCGTAAGGGTATAAACTTTCCAGCCGCCCTGGGACAGGCGCCCCCGACAGCGAAAAAGTTTATTATACAGCGTTCTTCGCCCGTGACGTGCCGATAGGCCTACCAGACAATGCTCTAAGAACCGTTTGTGGTCACCACGAAATGTTCGTAGAACATGTGTGGCTGGGACCGTCTTGTTTTAACGCCTCGTGTTTTTGTGCTAAGAACGTCACTTTTATTATTAGAACACTTTGGGGTTCTAGTAATAGTTCGTGGTAGGCCTCTAGAAATGTCGGGACGGTTGGTCCCTGCTCAACGGACGTGTGCATTGCTTTCGTCGGAGACCATCGAGGAGCATTCTGGATCAGCGAGCACAACAGAAACACGCGCGCAATCGAAAAGTGCACGGGGAATGGACGTCCGAGCGACGGCAAGAGGCACGGGTTGGGGCGTCGGTTGCGGTCGGGAATTGTGAAGGGGCCCTGGGACACACAAATAAATACACACAAATAAAAATATCCCCCATGTTTTCGCATGTTTTCTGGGTTTCTGTCTTTCCCCCCACCCCCCATAGTTTCCCATATTTTCTTGGGAGTCGACGATCAATTGTGTCTGTGTGTTTTTGCTCCCTCCTGGAACTGTTGGACAGCGTGTCGCTCCGACGGTTCTGGCACACCGCGCTTTGGAGCCCCACGCCATTTGTGTCGCCGCTCCCGAGGCGTCCACGCGCCGCGCTCTCCCGCGCCCTCCCTCCCCGCGGAGCGGAGCGACACGCGATCCGCTCGCAGGGCTCAGCGTGTCGCCCGGGCCGCCTTGCCAAACATTCCCGACCGTACATTTGCCTGGCATCGTTCGGACGTGTGCATGTTTTTCTCGGCGAGAACCATCGAGGAGCATCCTTGATGATTTGGCGAAAAGGCCACGCACGAAACCGAAAAAAACACACGGAATGGACGTCCGAGCGATGGCGAGTCTGGCGTCCGAGCAAAGATACGGTTCGGGCGTTGGCTAAGGAATGTGCCCAGGAGGCCTCAGGCCCTGGAGGATCCTCTCATTATCTGATGAGAGCGGCGGTGAGATCCATGGCCCAAGCCCCAGCGGGTGCTCCACCAGGAGCAAAAGCAGGAGGAGGCATGCACGGAGATGACTACGCCGTCCAGTTCTGGGCCACAGCCAGGGCGAAGTTGATCGCCTGGCTCGCTAAGCTCAGGGGCAGCGTTAAGGGGGGGTTAGGGGGGGATGCATCGACTCCCAACCGCCCACTGATCGCCGATAGGGGCTCGACAGCCCGCTTCATCCAGGACCATGCGGACTCGCCAGCGGGGGCCCATCGCCTATCTATCGGCGATGTATCCCCGATTCATGCTCGATGTGTTCTCCCCCTGAGCTGGTCCCCCTAACGTTGCCCCTTCACAAGCCATCGGCGACAGCAATGAAACCCCTGGTGTATGCACATCAGATTACATCCCGCCCCTCTGCATTCGAGCTGCCGAAGCCGCGGAATCGCCTCTGCGTGGAAGGGTTGCAATGTGCGCTGCTGGTGCCTCCATTCGGAGGTGCATTCCTTGACGACCAGCTGAGAATCAAGTTGCAAGCACAAACTCGTGCACCCTCGGCGCGCGACATCGGTCCAACCGGCGAGGAAGCTGCGGCATTCGGCCTCGTCATTTGTGCAGGCGCGGAGTGCTTGACTGCAGTGGCCTGCCGGCGCCTTGAAGAAAACCAGGCGGAGGTGTTTCTCAAGGTTCGACCTCTGGGGGCCCCCGCTGCGAAGCACGGCCGCCCACAACAACTCGGATGGAAACATCTGCCGTCTGCCCCCTCCTCCTCGTCCTCCTCGCTCGCTTTCTCTCCTCCCCTGCAGGCCCCCCAACTGGGGCAAGAGCAGACGGGGTCGGAGGATCACGCCGCATCGCCGCTGCATCGGCGATACGGCGCAGACCGGAGTCCGATTTTCTCCGCCCCAGCGTCGCTGGTGCGTAGGCGATGCGTCAGCGATGCGGCGTGATCCTCTGATCCCGTCTGCTCTGGCCCCGCTTGGGGAGCCTCCATCCTCGCCCGCCTCGCGTCGCTCCCGCTCGCGGCCCACGACCGCCCTACGAACCCATCGTTCCGAAACCTCAGGAGGAAGGGGGAGGGGGAGCGAGGATGTCGGGCCCTGCGGATGCCAAATTTACATTGCGGGGGATAGACAGCCGGCCCCCGGGGAAAGGGCCAGGACTTCCTGGGACCCCGTGTAGGGAAAACCAGACATCGGATGTCTGGCTTGCTGCTGCCGCCGCCGTCTCCGAGCGTTTTCGACGTCGCGGATCGAAGGCCGAGGTTCTCTGGCGCTCTTCGCCCTGCCTGGGCCTCCGAGGGGAGCAGGGGGGGCTTCTCTTAGCCACGGCCGGATTCCCTTTGGAATTCACGCCGGGAGGTACCCCAAGAGAAGATCCTGGGGCCGATTTCTGAGGGGCGGTCGTCGTCATCGTCGTTGCTGTCGAATTCTCACTGCCACAGAAGAAAAGTTGTTGATCCCCCCTGCCCTGTGCCCATTGAATTTTTCCCATGAAAGTGCTTATTCCAGGGCCCGCATCCTGTTGTCTTTCAAGGGAGCGTCTCGCGCCTCAGAGTGGGTTGCTGGCCTCCGGTTTACCACAACAGTGGCTCCCCATTGATATTTCAATTCATACAGATATCGCGCTTTCGCGCGGGAGCACAATTCATACAGGAATCGCACTCTCGCGTGGTATTCTTTTTTACACTGTATCGACATGCCGCGCCTTCGACACAAGAATTCTCGCACGGGACTTCCTCAAGATCTACTTGGGAATCGCGGTATCGCTCTAAACCTCCTCGCGATTCATGTTGGATTGACGCTTCGCCGACCCGCCCCTTCGACCCGGCCGCCGGTGCCCGCCCGACCCGCCCGTTAGGGTCCGCCCGCCCGACCAGCCCGTCTGGTTTTGCCGCTTGTACTCCTGTTCCTGACCCACTCCTGCGAATCTCTCTCGTGCCCCGTCCTTCTCCCTCCCCCTTGTCTCTTCCCTCCTTCCTCCCTTCAGGGGCGGCGCCAACTACATGTGGCAGGTAAGGGAGACCCTCTAGAAGGGCACGATGAAAACATGAAAAGAGCGGGCATCGATGGCTTGGGATATACATATTGAGTGGCACGCGAGCATATGAAAACGAACAGTTTTAAAATGGCAGTTGAGTTCTCAGTTCGAAAAGATAATTACTGTTGGTCCCCCCTGCCCGGTGCTCATTATTGGTTCGATTGTACCCCAGGTCACGCACCTTGTTTTCTCAAGCAAGGGTAAATATTGCTCCTCATATTGGGTTGTTCGCCCCCGGTTTTACAACAACAGCGGCTCCCGCTTGAGGCTTCCGCACACTTTGTTCAACTTCGCGCTCTCGCGCAGGACTTCCTCACACTTTATCCAGGAATATCGCTCTCGCGTGGCACTTCCTAGAATATCGCTTATCTTGCACAGGGTGTCTAGAGTTCCGGCCAGGCTATTTCGGCACGCGCGGCACCAGCACCACACCCCCACCCACCCACCCACCCACGGACAGATCAGTCCTTGTCAGTCAGCAGCCAGCCACGAAACCTCCTCGCCCACCAGCCAGCGCGCCCCCTCCGCCCCGGCCTTTTTTATTTCGGCACGCACGGCACCGGCACCGCGTGCACCCTCACCCACCCACCCCCAGCCAGCGCGCCCCCTCAGCCAGCAGCCAGCCCAGCTCCTCCTCGCACGCCAGCCAGCGCGCCCCTTCCGCCCCGACCATGTCATGCGGTTCCGGCGCCGCGCCCCCGCGTCTTTCCCCCAGCAGCCGCCCACCTCCGTCTCGCCCACCAGCCAGCGTGCCCCCCCCGCCAGGACCATTTGATTTCGGCACGCGTGGCGCTGGCGCCGCGCCCCCCTCGCCCCCTCCGTCCCGATTGTTTTTCGGCACGCACGGCACTGGCGCCGCGCAGCCCCTGTCACCTCCCAAGCAGCCGCCCCAGCCTCCCCCCCGTCTGTTTGCCAGCGAGCGCGCCCCCTACGCCCCAACCATGTTCAGTAGGGCACTAGCGCCGCGCCCCCTTCTATTCCACACCCCGGACAGCCGCCCCAGCTTTTCTTCAACCGCCAGCCAGCGCGCCCCCTCCGCCCCGACCATCTGATTTCGGCACGCACGGCACCAGCGCCGCGCCCCCCCGTGCACCCCCCCCAGCAGACGCGCGCGCTCCCCCTGCTCCGACCATTTGATCTCGGCACGCACGGCACCAACGCCGCGCCCTTCTCCACGCCCTCGGCGCCGAGCCGGCTCCCCCCTTCACTTTTTTTCCCAGCTCCCCCCTGTTGTTCTTTTCGCAGACAGCCAAGCCCCTCCTCGCCCGAAAGCAGCGTGGCTGGGGGGCCGAGGGGGAGTTGGGCTGGCTGCAGGGGGGGGGGGGGGGGACGCGCGGTGCCCGTCCCGTGGGCGCGTGCCGAAATTAAACGGTCGGGACGGAGGGGCGCGCTGGCTCGTGGGCGAAGGAGAGTTGGGCTGGTCGGAGGGCGTGGGGGGCGGTGGCTAATGACGCGCGTGCGTGCCAAAATACAATGTTCGGGGCGGAAGGCGGGCTGGGGGGGTCTGGGCGGTGCCGTCTCCTCGCCCCTAAGCCGCCGCCTCAGCTTCTCCTCGCCTACCAGCAAGCGCGCCGTCCCCGCCCCGACCAGTTGAATTCGGCACTCACGGCACCAGCGCCGCGCCCCCCCCTCCACCCCCAAGCACCCCCAGCGCCAGCCCAGCTCCCCCTCGCCCCCCACAACCATTTAATTTCGGCACGCGCGCACGGCACTAGCACCGCGCCCCCCCTTCCCCACCAGCCAGCCCAGCTCCCCTTCGGCCCCCCAGCCGCCGCCCCAGCCAGTTTATCACGGCACCAGCACCGCTTCCCCCCACCCCCCAGCCAGTCCAGCTCCCCCTCGCCCCCCATCTGGCGTCCCCTTTTCGGCCACGACCGTTGATGTCGGCACGCACGCACGGCACCGACACTGCCCCCCCTCCCCTCACAGCCAACTCTGCCCCGACCATTTTAGTTCGGCGCGCACGCACGTCAACGGCACCACCCCCCACCCCACCCACCCCAGCCAGCCCAGTTCTCCCTCGCCCGCGAGCCAGCGTGCCCCCTCCGCCCCGACCATGTTATTCCGGCACGCACGCACGGCACCTTCACCGCGCCCCCCCTTCCCCCCCAGCCAGCACAGCCCCCCCTCGGCCCCCAGCCGGAGCGCCGCTTCCGCCGCCCCAGCGATTTTATGTCGCCCCTCATACGCGTCGTGACCCCATAGGGAGCTCCACCGAAGGCCCCAATGGTAGGGAGGGCTCGAATGCGGTTCCACCTCCGTTTCGGTACCCCCCCCATACGTTTCAAGTAGCCCCATGTGGATCTCCACCTAAGGCCCCAGAGGCAGGGTTCGCATGCGGTTCCACCCCCAATTTCGGCACACCCCTCACACGTTTCGTGCGCCGATAGGGACCTCCAGCGAAGGCCCCAGAGGCAGGGTGCGCATGCCGTTCCACCCCCAACTTGTGCACACACACCCCTCACTCGCTTCGTGGCCCTGTTGGGAGCTCCACCGAAGGCCCCAGTGGCAGGGTTCGCATACGTTTCCATCCCCATGTCGGCACACCCCTCACAGGTTTCGTGGCCCCGTAGGGAGCTCCACCGAAGGCCCCACTGGCAAGGGTTCGCATACGGATCCACCCCCATGTCGGCACACCCCATCACAGGTTCCGTGGCCCCATAGGGGGCTCCACCGAAGGCCCCAGTGGCGGGGATCGCTTGCGGTTCCACTGCTAATTTCTTCGCACCCTTCACACGTTTCGTGGCCCCGTTAGGAGCTCCACCGAAGGCCGCATTTGCAGGGTTAGCGTACGGTTCCATCTCCGAAGCGCGCACCTCACGCGTTTCGTGGGTCCATAGGAAACTCCATTTTATTCCCCATTGGCCAGGTTCGCATGCGGTTCCACCTCTATTTCGACACCCCCCTCCATACGGTTCCTGGTCCTTCAGGGAACTCCACTGAATGCCCCAATAGCAAGGTTCGCATGCGGTTCCACCCCCATTCCGTCACACTCCTCACTGGTTCCGTGGCCCCGTAGGGAGCTCCACCGAAGGCCCCAGTGGTAATTTGGTCACACCCCTCACACGTCTCGTGGCCCCATAGGGATCTCCACCGAAGACGATACTTACAATTTCGGCACTCACAACTGCATATGGCTTGGTCCTCCGCCAGGCTATTTTGTGCGTGCCGCCATCGGAAAAATGTTTCGAGGTATGCTGGATGTCCCAGTCTAGCGTGTCCCGGTTTGGGGGGGCCTGATATCGACGGCAGCAGAAGTCATGTTTGATGTTCGTCCTCCCGCCTCGTCGTCCTACCCCCCATACTTTTCTCCCGTCGACTCACATTCTTCCTCCTCCTCCTCCTCCTCTTCATCCTCGTCCTCCTCCTCCTCATCCTCCTCCTCCTTCTCGTCGTCCCCCTCCTCCGCATTCCTGCTCCCTTCTCGAACCTCTCCATCCCCTTCCGCATTTGTTCCATCATCCTCCCCCTCCTTTCTCCTCTTCCTCCACCTCCTCTGCCTTCTCCTTCCTCCCTCCTCCTCCTCCCCCTCCTCCTCCTCCTCTACCTCCTCCTCCTCGTCCCTCCGCCTTCTCCTCTCTCCTCCTCCCTCCTCCTCCCTCCTCCTCCCTCCTCCTCCCTCCTACCTACTCCTCCCTTCTCCCTCCTCCTCCCATCCTGCTGCCGGCCACGAGGTGGCGGCGATTGCCGAGCGGCCTGACGCCTTGTGGGCCGACCCGGAGGCGCAGGCGATATTGAAGCAGTTCGAGGGACCGGCCCAGGGGCGGACGAGGAGGGAGGATCGGCACGACCGAAAACGGCACGGGCCGTTCTCGTTGCAAAAAAAACAGTGACGAAACGGTTGTTTATCTCTTTTGCCTCTGGGGGCCCTTACTGGGGTCTTCAAAACACGGCTCAGGGTGGAAGACATGTCCCTAGGAAGGCGTCCAGATTTCTGGCGGTCCACGTCATGAAAGTTAGCTGGGCGAAGGACCCAACCACCGCGGCTGTGAGTATGGTCTTCGGTGGATTTTCCCCTCGGGCCAGGAATCGCGCGAGGGGGGGCTTTCGGCGCCCTAAAAGAACCGCGAAGCGCATCAGGGGCGTGCCGAAATGGGGGGAGCCGCAAGCGAACTGTGCCACTGGGGGCTCCCTATGGGACCACCAAGCGCGCAAGGGGTGTGCCGAAACGGGCGTGGCCTCATATGGAGCTCCCTCTGGGGCCACGAAGCGCGCAAGCGATGTGCCCAAACGGGCGTGACGTTCACATGCGAACGTCGCCACTGGGGCCTCAGGTGTAAACGGACGTGACGCCCACAAGCTAACGTCGACACTGGAGACTTCAGCGAAGCTCCCTGTGGGGCCACGAAGCGCGTGAGGTGCATGCCGAAATGGGCGTGACGCCCACATGCGAACGCCTCTGAGGCCTTGGGTGGAACTCCCCATGGGGCCACGAAACGCGTGATGAGTGTGCCGAAAGAGGCTTGGCGCCCACATGCGAACGCTCCCATTGGGGCCTTAGGTAGAGGTTCCTCTGGGGCCACGAAACGCGTGAGGTGCATGCCGAAATGGGCGTGACGCCCACATGCAAACGCTCCCTCTGCAGCATTCGGAGGAGCCCCCATATGGGGCCACGAAACGCGTGAGGTGTGCCGAGACAGGCGTGACGCCCACATGCGAACGCTCCCTATGGGGCATTATGAGGAGCCCCCTTGCAAGGCAACGGAACGCGTGAAGGGTGTGTTGGAACGCGCGTGACGCCCACATGCGACCGCTCCCGTTGTGGCCTCAGGTGGAGCTTCCTGAGGTGCCACGAAACGCGTGAGGGGTCTCCCGAAACGGGCGTGGCGCCCACATGTGAACGCTCCCTCTGGGGCCTTCGGGGGAGTTCCCACATGGTGCCGCGAAACGCGTGAGGGGTGTGCCACACTGGTTGACATGCGGAGGGCAGGGGCAGGGGTGGAAGGAGGATTTCCAGGATGTCCGACATCACGCAGTGATGCAAGGCTGAGCTCAGCACTTGGGGAATAGGTCGCGATCAATCCTGTCAAGATGGTCGCGCTGCAAGCGGGGGCGACAAGGACTACCCAAGCCGAAGCCGGCGACAGCGGAGACAAAAGCCCGAGAGTCCTTGCGACACCTCAGAGCCCCGAATCATCAGGGTTAACTCGGGTCAGGGCTAACTCGGGTTCGCTTTTCGGGAATCCAAACCCGAGTTACCCCGGACCCGAGTTACCCCGGATAACTCGGGCGTCCAGAGCCCCGAATCATCAGGGGTAACTCGGGTCAGGGCTAACTCGGGTTCCTTGTTCGGGAATCCAAACCCGAGTTACCCCGGACCCGAGTTACCCCGGATAACTCGGGCGCCCAAACACCACGAGCGAGAAAGCACACGAGGGCTCTGCGGTGCCGCATATGGGCGTGTGCGGGATATGCGCCCGGCCAGCTGCCACGCGCGGGCTCCGTCCGATCGGGACGCGGGATAGCCTCCTCCTCCTCCTCCTCCTCCTCCTCCTCCTCCTCCTCCTCCTCCTCCTCCTCCTCCCCCCTCCTCCTCCTCCTCCTCCTTCTCCTCCTCCTCCTCCTCTTCCTCCTCCTCTCGGGACGCGGGATAGCCTCGAACTCACGCGGGGGGGGAAGGGGGGGAGTGCAGACACCTCTCGGCCATTCGTCGGAGGGCACCAACTATACACCAACACCGATCCTGGCCCAGGATCGGTGTTGGTGTATAGTTGGTGCCTTCCTAATTCGGCCCGAGTCGCAAGAGAGCTTAAGCGCCAGCTGGCTTCTCAAGAGCCCACGGGCCGGCGCCAACACTTACCATCGCCTGTCGAAGAGCATCGTGCGCCCAGCATCCACAGGAGTGCAGGCACCTCGCAGCCATTCGGGCTCCTCGTCTTTCGAGGCGGGGCTGAAGCACACCGAGCACGCTCTGCCGTCTCCGGTCGGGCCGTCGGCAGGCAGGACCCGGGGAGGGGCCTCGGGGTGCCCACGCCCCGCTCCTGAGGTCCCGGGGGGCACCGATGGACACCAGCCCTACTCTAAGAAGCCTTCTCGTAACAAGCCTAGCTTCACGCTCGGTTCGGTGCACTCTACATCTATCTACCGCGGGCACTCTGGCCATGTCGGCCGCTGCGCCCGCCAAAACATCCCCACAAGCGCTTCCCTGGATGAGCCAAGCGTCCCACCCTAGAGCGACGACCTCTCTCGCCGTGAGTTGTGAGGGAGTTTGCAGAGCCACAACTTCTGATTCGTTTCGGCCCTGCTCCGACAAGGGTGATCCTAGTTTGCGCCATTAGTCGATCAGGAGGCCCTCTGGGGCTCGAGCAGCGCCAGCATACCATTCCCTAGCCACTTCAGCACAGCCGGTGATCTAAATCACAAGGCCGAGCGAAAACCGAATTGTCCATTCAAACGCCTGCAACTCTCCTCTGGGGACCGCGTGGGCAGGCACAACCAGAGGCCCGAAAGTATGCGGGCCAACAATACAGGGAGAAACATTCTGACAGACAGCCACGGCACAGGCGCGCAGCCAGGAGGAGCTACATGTAGGTCGGGCATGTCCTCCTGCAGGCGAATTTGGAGGGAAAAATGAAAATTAACAAACAATCCAACAAATAAAATAGAAAAATCGTGCAATGATTCTTTTGTGTTATGTCCATCGTGAGTGTCCTTGCCAACCGAGGAGTCCCCCCGAAAACGTACAGAGGCTGGTCTTTGGACCCACGGCCGAGGCATCCTGGACCAGGAGGAGGAGGAGGAGGAGGAGGAGGAGGACCGAATTTTCCGCGAAAAACAATCCATGGCTAGTTGGCGGGGCAACGCGGGCCCACTCAGAAGTTATCACCCATCCCACCCAGAAGCACGGCTGATTGCCCTGCTCGGCGAATAGTTTCGGCAACCAAGTTATCCGAAAGCACGAAAGTTGGCGAACCACAATTTTCGTTGCATGCCCGATTACGATGAATAGGTGCGGCTGGACTTTCACCGCAACGCTCGCACCCGTCTGAGTCCGTCAGCTTGGCCTCTTTTTTTCAGAGTTTTGGTCTGGTACCCACTGGTGGCGATGCCGACCATCAGCTCCGACAGTTGCCTCCCCCGCCTCGCGCGAAGAAGCGGCAGCGTTGCGATGGCTCAGCCAGTCCGCGCCCTGCCCGTGGTCGCCGCAACGGAAAAAGCCAGCTGCCTCCTGCCAGAACTGCAAGCCCAGAGTGTTCCCGATCTCGTCGAGAAGCGGTTGGGCCTGGACGAGGCCAACGAGAGCATCCGTCGAGAATTTCCGTGTATGCTCCATGTTGCTCCCGTCGCCCATCACTTGCCACTCAGTCGCAGACTTTGGAGCCCACCCTGCGTGAAGTAAGTACAGCACAACAGAAGAAAGCGGGCCTCAATCGTGTCCACCTCGCTGTCCAGCAGGAACATCCTGGAAAGCCGTCACCGTCCTTCGCCACGCTAAGGCCACCGACACTCGGAGGCGGTGATCACGCAGCCAGGAGTCGAGCCACTGACTGAGGCGCAACCTGGGTAAGCACCACACCAGGGTCCGCGCCTAGAAGGCGGAGTGCCAGCAACGACGTCAAGCAACTCCCCCTCTTTGCAGGCCCTGTCGCAGCCACTAGCCTTCTCCTCTGACTGAGCATCAATCACTGAGCCAAAACTCCCCAAATTCTGATGTCCGTATGATGCCGCGGCTTGTGTCCCCGTCCTCTGAATTTTGCCAGTCGAGTGTGCTTCGAAAATGGCTCGACTGCCTGAGACGCGCTCGAGCAAAGCATATGTCCAAATCCTCTCCGACATCGACGGGTGCACAATCGCCAATTTCTCTCAAACAACTGCCGTGAGAAATTCAGCGAACCTCGTGCCACTCCTCGATCCTTGTATGACCGACCTGGTGGGCTGAAGCAGCGGCGAGTGCGAGTCGAGTTCGGACAGCATCCTCGGCGCCACGACGAGCTGCACTTCCAAGAACAGGACCACGAAAGGGCACCCCTTCTTGATCGCGCACCCCGCGAGGACAGGCCACTCTACCCCCGTCGTAGAATGCCTCCACGTCGAGCCGGGCCCGCCCACGGGGCAAGCGGAGGCAGGTCTGGACCTCGTCCTCCAGCGCCCGCACGAACGCCTCCCGCAAGGTGCTGCTCCCTGCGATGGCCGCGCCCCAGTAGTTGTCCCTGTGGTCCACCCACCCGCGCACTAGAGGTTCGTGCGCGAGCGGCCACGCTCTGCACGGCATGCCCAGCAGGCCGATGCATTCATCTCCACTTGCCTCGGCTGCCCGCGCAAGCTCCCGAGCACGCACAGTACTTGCCACGGCCAATTGAGGCACTCTTCAACCAGTGTGGACAAGTTGCTCAACTCCTTGGCCCGCAAGGGGCTTCGTCTTTGGTAAAGCATGCCTTATCTCCTCGATGGACAAAGATCCTAACTTCTCGACTTCGGCATGCTCCCTGATCATGCCGCGCGCACTCATGATAAGATCGAACCCTGGGACCGAGGAGGACCACAAGGAATGTCACTTGCCTATCCTGCCGCCGACAATCTCCACTGGGTGGGCTAGTTACTGATCGTCGATACGATATTCATCGTGTTCTGCTGCCGGAGCTTTGATTGAACTGTGAACTGCACCAAGACTCTCAAACGGTTGGGTCCAGGTCTGGAAATCCGGCAGCGAAGAGGAGGCCGCTCTATTCTGAAGTCGCTGAGCGGACTTAAGAGCCACCTCCCCGAGTGCTTCGAACTCGTTCACGCCGAGACCGTGGAGCCGACGCATC